GCTGGAGTGCAGTGGCACGCTCATGGCCTCCCTAGCGTTGATCTGCTGGGCTCCGGCAATCCTTCTGCCTCAGGCTTCCAAGTAGCCAGAGCTACAGGCACATGCTACCACGTCCGGCTAATTTTTTATTTTATTGTAGAGACAAGGTCTCACCAAGTTGCCCTGGGTGGTCTTGAACCTACAGGCTCAGGCAATCCACTCACCTCAGCCTCCCAAAGTGCTGGGATTACAGGCTGAGCCACCAAGCCCGGCCTTCATGGGTATTCAGTTTAATTGTTTTGATGCTGTTGATCGTGTGTTTCTTCTCATGCTCATTTATGAACTTCTTGAAGTCAGGGCCAGTGAATCAGTTAGGATTTAGTTTAGCCAGTTTAGCGTGATAAAAAAAATGCTAACTAACTGTGACTTCGATGAAATAGACATGAGGTCCTGAGGTAGGCAGTCCTGTCTGGTATGGCAGCTCCATTATCTTCAAAGGACCTCAACTCCGTCTATATTGCAGCTTTACCATTCTCATTTTGTGGTTCTTCCTTATGGTCCCAAGCCTGTTGCTTAAGCTCTGCTCTTCATACCTGCATTCCAGCCAGCTGGAAGAATGCAGGGCCAAAGAAAAGTGCACATCTTCCTTTCACAGCTGCTTTCTGGAAGTTGCAAACTACACTTCCATTTCCATTCTGATAAAACTCAGCCACGTGGTCACACCCTGCTACAAGGAGGCCTGGGAAATGTAGTCTCTATTCCAGGCAGCCATGTCTAAAAAGCAGGGTTCTGTTCCTAAACGTTAGAGGAGATTTATTAGCAGTTCCTACTTCAGTGAAAAGCAAGGAGAGGTTAAGCAAGATTCCTTTGAGCCAGACTGGGCCAGCTGTGAGACGGTGGTGTCACTCACAAAGCAGTGGAAGAAAACACAACAGCTACTATTAATTGAGCATTATACTAGTTGCTTTATCTGAAACCAACATCTGTGAGTTTTACATAGGTAATTGCCCTTGAGAAAGAGTATTTCTAATTTGTATCAGATCCAGGCTTTTAGCATGCTTCCCATGATAGGGAGCTTACTATTTCTCAGGGTAAAACTCATTGCATTGTTAGATTACATCTATTTTTAGAAAGTTCTTCCTTACTTTGAACTGAAAGTCATACTCTCGGCCTGGCAATGGAATGAGTAGTTCAGGGTGCATATTCTTCAGTTAGATCAGATGTTCTGTCTCCCAGGAGATACTTGGCAGTGTCTGAAAACATTTTGAATGTCACAACCAGGGGGATGCCTGCTACTGGCATCTAGTGAGTAGAGGCTAGGGATATTGCTAAGCATCAGACAACGCATAGGACAAGCCCCCACTGCAAAGAGTTATGCAGCTTAAAATGTCAATAGTACCAAGGTTAAGAAACCCTGAGTTAGATAGACCTAAGTTTGAATCTTGACTTCTACAACTGCTTCCTAGCTGTGTGACCTTAAGTTGCTTCACCCCTCTGAGCTTGAACTGACCATTTCCTTATCTGTCTTAGAGACCATCAGATCTCACTCTTGGGCTTAGGATGGACATGTAGTAACCAGTATATGAGAAGTGCCAGCCTGGGGCTTGGCTCCTTACCGCCTCAGTTGACCCTGTTGGCCTTCTGGGATGCAGAAGGGATGTTGACTACTGTTGCTTATTTGATGGCACATAGACCTGATTGGATTAGACCACAGCACTCTAGTAAAAGGCCCTACCCCACCTAATAGTTTTGGAATGAAGCCATTGCCTTAATTCCAAAATGATGATTTGTTTGTATACTCTTGGGGAAGCAGGCTTTATTTCTGCTTTTTACTCAGTCATTGCCACCTCAGAGTTTGCAGAGCCTTCCCACTCTGTTATCTCAGTTGATGCTCTCAACAGCTCACGGCGAGGGTCTTATTATTCTCCCTACCTTACAAATGATCAAACTGGCATCCCAAGCTGATTGCTGGAGCTGCACACAGCTCAGAAAGTGGCAGAGTTTGAGCGAGGAATCGGCTTCTGCCTCCAGAGCTCTCCCCAGGCTGCTTTTCTGAGGACACAGAGCTAGGAGAGCCTGCCAGTGGCCACCTTTCTTAGAGACATATCCTTGTCCCAAGCGCCTCCTCTAGCTTTGTTCTCTCGGTCCAAAGCATACCCTCTGTGGAGCACCCTTCTGCGGGCTTGGCTAAAATCTCAGAGAGGGCACCTCAGATCCAGCTGGGGTCTTCTGTGTGGCGTGAGGTGAAATGAGGATCCATGTTCCCAGATGTCTCCCATACTCTTTGCCAGAGTACCTGACCTTTATTTGGAATTATACAGGGAACACCGTTCAGCGATCTGTTTTGTTGTGGTTTTTTTGGGTTTTTTTTTTGAGTTGGAGTCTCACTCTGTTGCCCAGACTGGAGTGCAGTGGCCGCTCCCGGCCTCCGCAGCCTCGACCTGCTGGGCTCCAGCGAGCTTTCCGCCTCAGCCTTCCGAGTAGCTGGGACTACAGGCATGCACTACCATGCCCGGCCAATTTTTTTTGATTTATTGTAGAGATGAGGTCTCGCCAAATTGCCCAGGTGGGTTCTCGAACCCACAGGCTCAAGCAATCCGCTCACTTCAGCCTCCCAAAGGCGTGGGATTACAGGCTGAGCAACCGAGCCCGGCTAAGGGATCTGTTTTCCAAAATGCAGGTCCATGAGGGAGGAAAAAGTGCCTTACATTAGTTATCTCACTGATGAGAGCCTGTTCAGGGATTAGATGAGAGGCAGAGACACCAGAGCCTACTTCCTGAGCGTGTGACCCGTGCAGTTCAGAACCGGAGGAAAACAGCAAAATATTCCTTAAGAGAGGCTAAAAAGGAGGCCTGGAAAAGTCTGTACAGATTATTTACCCTACTCTACACAATTTTTTTTTTAGTGGAATTCTCACTCTGTTGCCAGGCTGAAGTACAGCAGCATGTTCATGGCCACTACAGCCTCGACCTGCTCGGCGCAGGTGATCCTTCCACCTCAGCCTTCCAAATAGCTGGAACTTTCAAGTTGCTGTAGTTCCAGGCTCATGCCACCATGCTTGGCTAATTTTTTTTTAATTGTTGATGCGAGGTCTTGCTCAAGTTGGCCAGGTCTCAAACCCCTGGGCTCAAGCAATCCCCTTGCCTCTGCCTCCCAAACTGCTGAGATTACAGGCGTGAGCCACTGCACCCGGCTCCCACCCTACACATCTGACACAGGAGAAAAATGGAGGCTGAGAGATCACTCAGAAAACAAGTAGCAGAGCTGGGCAAAATCAGTGCTGCCCACATGGTTTCCTTCCACAAGGATCAATCATCTTGGGGTCTTGATTTTTATCTTAAACAATTATATGAATTTAGCCTTTTACTTGTGAACTTATCTGGCTTTGTCTTAATGTAAAAAAAATATTTTTTGCTAAATTATTGAGAGAACTGTGTATTCTCTATTAGTGTCTCTCAGTTTTCTTTAAATTCATACCACTTCTTGATGAATATAAAAGCTAACAATGCTTTTTAGAAGTTTTCATCAATTTATTTATTTTATTTTGATATAGAGACAGGATCTTACTATGTTGCCCAGACTGTTCTTTAACTCCTAGGCTTAAGTAATCCTCCCACCTCAGCCTCCCATAGTGCTGGGATTACAGGCATGAATCACCATGCCCAGCCTCCTTTTCAGAAGTTTTAATATCTACTTACACCTCCCATTCCGCTTGAAGATCACCAATAACAGAGGCTACAACCTGTTTTCAGTAGAGCCTTATTAGCAAAGGTTTTGTTACATATTACTTGACATAGTTTATATAATGAAAAAACGCTGTTTGTTTTTCAGATAGAAAAGTAAAACAATAAATATACTTTAAAAAATAAGTCCCTTCTTATCTGAGAACTATTTCTGTAAGAAGCTATGTTAGGTTTAGCTCATGCTTTATGTACCTCTGGTGCATCCCCTTACAACCTCCCCCATAACACTTAGGTATGCTTTTAGCTGCAAGTAAAAACCCCCACAATGGGGATGCAAGTGGGGAAAAAAAGCCTATTTAATTATTTCCCATCAATAATAAGGCTCAGTATGGTGGCTCACATCTGTAATTCCAGCACTCTGGAAGGCTAACGCAAGAAGATTACTTGAGCCCAGAGGTTCGAGACCAGCCTGGGCAACATAGGGAGACCTCATCTTTACAAAATAAAATATTAAAAATTAGCTGGGTGTGGTGGCATGCACCTGTGGTCCCAGCTCCTCTGGAAGCTGAGGTGGAAAGATCTCGTGAGCCTGGGAGGTCAAGGCTGTAGTGAGGCATGATTGTGCCATGTACTCCAGCCTGGATGACAGAGTGAGACTCTGACTCAAAAAAAAAAAAAAAAAAAGCCTGGAAGAAGATTCCAGCATTGGCTCACTGGCTTAGTGGTAACAGGGCTCTGGGTAAGCCTTTACTTGGCATTCCCTGATGGCCCCAAGACGACTGCTCTAGCCTCAAACATCACTTCCTTCCTTCCTGTCAGGAAGCAGGAGGCAAATGAAAAATGCTTTTCCTGTTTTGCACATTTATCAGAGAGAAAGACATTTTCTAGAACTCCACCTCTGTTGTTAGACTTCCCCATCTAATTTCTAGGGCATCATGGTATCTCATGGCCACTCCTAGATCAGCCACTGCAAAGAGAACTAGACTGCCATATTCAGGTTAGACCAGTCCAGATGCAGCCTGCCTTCTTGGAATATGTCCAGAATTAGACTTACACAAATTATTTACCTACCTTGTTTTTTGCCCACTCCCTCACTAGAATGCATGCTCCATGAGCGCAGAGATGTTTGTATTTTGTTCACTGCAGTATCCCAACACCTAGAACAGTGCCAGGAATTCAATAGTGATTGAATGAATAAGGAAGGGGACATGGCTGCAGCCAGCATTATATATCACCCCCAATAGCATACACCCCAGTTTGATAAACATAATGGTACTAAATGGCTACTGATCACCCAATCTCTGACCTTAATTTTTCTATTTTTTTCTCCCAGGGAGTGAGCCATAACTGGAGGCTGCTTTTGTGCCAATGACCCTCCCCAATTCTTCCTGCCTCTTAGAAGACAACATGTGTGAGGGGAACAAGACCACCATGGCCAACCCGCAGCTGATGCCCCTGGTAGTGGTCCTGAGCACCATCTCCTTGATCACAGTGGGTCTCAACCTGCTGGTGCTGTATGCCGTACGAAGTGAGCGGAAACTACACACTGTGGGGAACCTGTACATCGTCAGCCTCTCGGTGGCAGACCTGATTGTTGGCGCTGTGGTCATGCCCATGAACATCCTCTACCTGCTCCTGTCCGAGTGGTCCCTTGGCCGGCCTCTCTGCCTCTTTTGGCTTTCAATGGACTATGTGGCCAGCACAGCATCCATTTTCAGTGTTTTTATCTTGTGCATCGATCGCTACCGCTCTGTCCAACAGCCCCTCAGGTACCTGAAGTATCGAACCAAGACCCGAGCATCAGCCACCATCTTGGGGGCCTGGTTTCTCTCCTTTTTATGGGTTATTCCCATTTTAGGCTGGCATCGCTTCATGCCGCAGACCTCGGGGCACCGGGAGGACAAGTGTGAGACAGACTTCTATGATGTCACCTGGTTCAAGGTCATGACCGCCATCATCAACTTCTACCTACCCACCTTGCTCATGCTCTGGTTCTATGCCAAGATCTACAAGGCTGTACGGCAACACTGTCAGCACCGGGAGCTCATCAATGGGTCCCTCCCTTCCTTCTCAGAAATTAAGCTGAAGCCAGAGAATCCCAAGGTGAATGCCAAGAAACCAGGGAAGGAGTCTCCCTGGGAGGTTCTGAAAATGAAGCCAAAAGATGCTGGTGGTGGATCTGTCTTGAAGCCTCCATCCCAAGACCCTGAGGAGACGAATTCCCCAGTTGTTTTTAGCCAAGAGGAGAATGAAGCAGTAGGCAAACCCCACTGTTTCCCCCTAAACATCGTGCAGTTGCAGACTGTGGCAGAGGGGAGTAGCGAGGACTACATAACTGTCACTCAGGCCCAGAGCCAGCTCAAGATGGATGAGTCGGATCTGAACGTGCACGGGGTCAGTGAGATGTCAGAGGATCAGACACTAGGTGATAGCCAGTCCTTCTCCCGGACAGATTCAGACACCCCCACAGAGCCAGCACCGGGCAAAGGCAAATTGAGAAGTGGATCTAACACAGGCCTGGACTACATCAAGTTCACTTGGAAGAGGCTCCGCTCACATTCAAGACAGTATGTGTCTGGGTTGCACATGAACCGTGAACGGAAGGCTGCCAAACAACTGGGTTGTATCATGGCAGCCTTCATCCTTTGCTGGATCCCTTACTTCATCTTCTTCATGGTCATCGCCTTCTGCAAGAGCTGTTGCAACGAGCATGTGCACATGTTCACCATTTGGCTGGGCTACATCAACTCTACACTGAACCCCCTCATCTACCCCCTGTGCAATGAGAACTTTAAGAAGACGTTCAAGAAAATTCTGCACATTCGCTCCTAAGGGAGGCTCCTGAGCGATGCTTATGATGTCCAGTGAGGAAATAAAGGACGAAGGCCTATGTGTTGCCAGGCACTTGGGTTTTCTGGAGCCAAAACCACAGTCTTAGGGGCTGAGTAGTTTGGAAAGTTCTTTGGCACCATGGGAAGAACAGTGGATGGCTGTGGTCAGTAGAGGGAGTGAACTTGGAGGAGAAAGCAGAATGTGTGTAAGATGATCAGACCTGGGGTGGGAGTGCTCCTGCCCCTCAGGATCTGTGGGAGCCTCAGACTCTCCTTGTATTTCAAACTTTCAGATTCAAGTTAATCAGCAACTGATGGGACTCGTGGGTAGAGTTTCACTAGAGAATCAAACAGAAGACTTGAGCCTTCCTGGAGTGGAGCTGTATGATCACAAGAGACCTTACATGGGCAGATACTTGCTGTCCCCTTCCAGGGGTCACCTTGAGAGGCATGGCAGCCATTCCCCCAAGGCTATCCCTTCTCAAACACCTCTCTTCTGAGCCTCTTCTATAGTATTCTCCAGAACCAGTCAGTGTCTGAACCACCCTGGAAATTCACCCTCATCTTTTCCACTCATGCATGTCTTCGTTGATAGGAAATTATGCGGTTTGCAAATTCATTGTTTTTAACCCCTTCTGCAAGGGGTTCCTTTGGCTATTTAAAAAATGGTGGCAAAGTTTGCCCTCAAAAGAAAGACATGAGATTTGACTGGGTCTACATTAAAAATTAAAAGAAGGAATGGGGGAAGAATGTCCCCCCGCCACCCCCCCTTTTTTTAGCACTGTCTTAGCTTTATTTCATTTAAACCGCAAACACCATACAACAGGATTGTGTTCCTGTCTCTAGTTTTTAGAGGAACCAGTTGCAGCAAGGTGAAAGAGGTGCCCAAGGTGATATTGCTATTATATTAGAGAGTTAGAATGACCCTGCTCATCTAGTTCACTGTAGCACATTTTCTCCAAAAGACAAAAAATGTGCTCTATTAAGTACACACACACACACACACACACACACACACACACACACACACACACACATACACACAAAATATTCCTGAGCATGGTGGTAATTTTCCAAATAATATGTTGAGTGAAGGAATTGCTGACACAGAATGCCTCTGAATGGACAGAAGGTGATGCCTTGAGGGGACAGTATGCATTTTTATCTGAGTTCTGTTGTGTTTGTCAAAAAATGTCATGTTCTTTTATAGTCACAACTGTTAAGTAAAAACTAGGAGACTGGTCAAGCACAGTGGCTCATGCCTATAATCCCAGCACCTTGGGAGGCTGAGGTGAGAGAATTGCCTGAGCCCACAAGTTCAAGACCAGCCTGGGCAACTTGATGAGACCTCATCTCTATAATAAATCAAAAAATCAGCTGGGTGTGGTGGTGTTCGCCTGTAATTCCAGCTACTCGGAAGACTGAGGTGGAAGGATCGCCTGAGCCCAGCAGGTTGAGGTTGTGGTGGCCATGAGCATGCCACTGCACTCCAGCCTGTGTGAAAACGAAACAAAACAAAATAAAAAACTAGCAAAGGCATGGGAACATAGAGTTTTACTTGGTGTTTATGTTGCAGTCTGGTTGTGATTTATATTTTAATACTTGATGCTAAATTGTAATGTGTATAGCAAATGGGAATGCCCGTACAAGCTGGTGTTTTGTCTTGTGTTCCTCTTTGCATGATCTGTGAGATCTCTTTGCCTACCTAAAATATGATGTTTGAAACCATACTGTTATGTGATTTATTTATTTCTACTTTCTGAGTCTCTTGGACCAAGATATATTGAAGTGTACTGTCAAAAGTTACAAAATTTGATGTAGGGTTTATTTTTGGTTTCTGGTCACATTTGTAAATGTCTTTTAAAGTGGACTTACTTTTTATAAAAGTTTCATTCTCACTCCGCTTTGTATCCCCCAGAAGTTCTTCTTGCTCCAAACTGGTGGAATTTAAGAGACTTTTATCCTGGTGTCAGAAGCTGCAGCTGGTCTGTTTCTAGGTCAGAAACCATTGTCCAGAAGACCTCTGAGAGAGACCTGTGAGACAGTTGCTCCCAGGTTCCCTCAGGACCAAAGAACACTTAGAACGAGCACGCCACAAAGACTAAAACATTTCCTAGTTGAAGGCATCATAAAGACCTTGATTACAGGTAAGAATCTTGTGGACTCAGAAGCTCCTTTAGGATTCTTTTCATGGGCTTAAGACTGGTTAGCTTCAAGCCAATTCTTTGAATGACCAATTTGCTAAGTTTATCCATTTGCCAAACTGACTTCTTTGTAAGTATTTACAAGGTTTACAATAATTCATATTGGATGAGGGTTTTAAGAACGATCTCTTAAAATTGTTGTGAAATGATAGCAACTGATTTCATTTTTCTTCATAGCAGCACATTGAGGAAGGGTCAACTTGTCTTTACTCCCAGCTCGCTGCTACTGCAGGGAGAGGCAGGAGGCGGGGGGGAGGGAGATTGAAGAGACAGAGGGAATATAGAGGTGAAGTGACAGAGTGACAGAGGGGGGAAAAGGACAGAAATCAGAGGAGTCTGGAGAGGAGAGAAAGACAAAAGTGTCAGAGAGGAGGGACTGAGGAGGGGGGTGGGGGGCACTCGGGGCAGTAAAAGGGAGAAAGGGTGACGGATATGCAGAAGAGGATAGTGAAGGGCAGAGTTGGGGAGAGACAAAGGGGTGGATGGAGAGACTAAGCAGCAGAGAGATGGAGACTTTGGGGGAAGACAAAGGGAGAGACTGAAGCATGAGAAGGGAGGCAGAAAAGGAGAAACAGAGAATGGGGGACAAAAAGAGTAAACAGTGATATAATATTCATACACTCCAGAAGAATCTACATCCAGGAACATATTCTTCATTAATATATTCATGAGTTAAATACATTCAAAGGCAGAATAAACCATCCTTAGCTTTTGATAAATAGAACATTCCTTAAAATGCCTCCTTGAAGACAACATGAAAACCAGTCAACTACAACATAGCATAACATAAATCTTTTAAGAGCTTGTGAAGTCTTTCTATTCAGCAGAAATTGCTGTAAACCTTAAAAGTTGGGATTGTTACCAAAGCATTCATTCTAAAAACCTATGTCTACAAATTGACCATTTGATGAATTGGTCACTTGGCTATTTGGCTTGCAGAAAATTGCTGATCTCTTTTTTGAAGATGGGCACTTCATGAACTTCCAGGAGGTAGATTGAATAGTCTTAGCTTAGGGTGAGAAAGATGCTGGGGCTTTCCCGGCTGTGAGGTATTCTAAGTGCTGTAAAGAAATAATACTGTTAAGATCTAACTTGTCAATCAATATCTGTCATTCCATAATTTCTTGGACTTTCAAAGCTTAGCTTGGCATGTCATGGGGTTCTCATTGTGAGGAGCATGTACGCTCCTCAACTGATCTGCAAGACAAGTGATGGAAGCAGATTGAATAGTTCATGGTCTAGGAGCCCCAGTGGTCAGCCCCAGTGGTACTGCTCTGAGCCTCATCCTAACTTCCATCTAACAAGGAAGTCACATTTATGGCCTGACCAACCAATTTTTCTGGCCTCTACATCTATTTTGGATGCCTAGACCTCATCTGTTATTTTTATTTTTATTTTTTTTGAGTTGGAGTCTCACTCTGTCACCCAGACTGGAGTGCAGTGGCCACTCCCGGCCA